TAGCTTGCTTCCACGCTTGGCTCCACAGGCCCTGGGTGAATTCGCGTATAAAAGGTTCGTAGCCAACGTCGCCTGCCCGGAGAGAAAGCAGCCACCAGTCGTCAGTGACAGGGGGCCTCCAGGTTGAATAAGTCTCATCAGTGGCTGTCCATCCCGCGCCCAGAAGAGCCGCGACCGCCCCAGACATCGGCCCCCTGGCATGTCTCCAGCGGTCGGTCTTCGGCGTTTGGGCGACACGGTCGGCCACCTTGGGCCAAGCCCTGGAGAGTCTCGGGAGGACATGCTCACTGTCTATCTCACGCGTAGTAAATTGATACCAGGTCTGGAGCTGGCGGACTCTTAGCTCGATGCCTGGGTTGCGGTTACTCAGCTCCGGCGCCAGGTATGCAGTCAGACAGCGCCCAGCCTTGCGACCCCCAAGCGCCCCCGCGACCGCGCGCTGCACTCTCAAAATCAGGGTCGGGGCCACGCCTGCAGCCATGGCCCCATACGCAATGCGGGGCACTGGGGACATGAGGGTGAGCTTGCGCCTGGCTAGGCGCACTCGGTTAAACTTGGAAATCTTGCGAAACTTGCATAACTGTCTAAAGGCCTGGCTGACTCGCTTGTTGCGCTTAACTTTGCGCTGCCGCTTGGGCCCTCTTTCGGACCCGAGGTCAGCTATGACTGCGCTCGGCTTGAGGTTAAATTATGGAATCAACTTGTTAAATTCCTTGCGCGCTGCTTTGGCCGTATCAATGTCGGCCCCGACCACCCCAGACTTCCCCGATATATCGAGGCCGAGGTCGCGGGCCCCCCGATAAAACAGGGCGGCCGCCTGGGCCGGGAGGGGGGCCAGGATGTGTTTCGGCCCTTCGGCGCGCTGGTTGATATCATCTACCCATTGGTACGAACGAACACCTTCGGGTAAAAACTGGCGATGCACGTCGTCTAAAAGGTCGCATGAAACAGCCCGGGCGAGATTATTTGCGTCGCTGTCTCCTGTGAGAAGCGAACCTGTCGGCTGGATGGGTGCCGCGATGGCGCCTCGAGAGCGCAGCATCCTCGGCGACGCGCAAAGCACTGCAGCCGCGCAGAGCTTCCTGGGGGGGAAGTCCATCTTAAGTGCCGCCTCGAATGCCATGATTGGGTTGACGCTGTCATAGAACTCTGCGAAATCCCAGATCACATTGGCGTAGTGGATGTCCAGCTCGTCGTCAACTTCGTCGCAGAAAAAGCGGAACATGCCACACTGATGGGCGCTGCTGCCCTTGATGGCCCGGCCCCAATGGCCAGCCTTGGCAGCGCGCCAGCTCGCCCCCAGCACCTTGCGCATCTGGGCCCAGAAGCGCATCGCCCAGTGGATGAGAGTCACGCCCCTTTTCGGAGCCGTCGGGCTTCGGGAGCATGCCCTCCAGTGCGCTCATCAGCTGCCACGGCCACGCCATGTAACTCGCACACGTTGCAGAAGTCGGTCCGGTATTGCTTGGCTTGAAATGGTAGGTTGCGAATGCCCACAGGCCCGATGTTGTCACTTCTTCGGCCCGTGGCATTAGGTAGGACTGTGGCCTTGTCGCGAATAACGCACGCGTCGATCGGCTGCCACGGGTCCTCGAGGGCCGCCAAGCTCAGACACTTGCGGCGGAAGTCCCCCAGCTGGTCGAGGGCGACTGCGCCGCTCCACCGCTTGGCCCAGGCCCCGCGCTTGCCCCCCATGATGCTGTAGAGGTCGGTGGAGGCGTCGGCGCCCACCCCCGCATTCCATGACCGTGGCTGCCGAATCCGCACTCCACTTGAGAATATTGCTGGGCTTCTTGGCAGCGCACTGGACGACCCACTCCTGGAACGCCTGTAGTCCTTGGCGGACCTCAGCTCTCTGGAAGTTGCCCGCCAAGAGCCCCGGCGCGCATGCCATGGTGGTGGCCTGCTCGGTCGACCATTGCCTAACTGCTGCCAAACCGTGCTGCCACTTGAGCTTCCAGATTGTCGTCGGGCATTGAGCGGGCGCGAGCGTAGATGATGTCAGCAGCGTTCTCTCCAGACTCCGATAGTGCGGCGTCCGCGCGGGCGAGGGCCATGGCCAATAGCTGCGCGCGCGCCGCCATGGTGCTCCACCATCTCGTGGCGCGGTTGGCGGCGCGCGCCCCGGTGCCCGCTCTAGGGGCCCTGATCTGCATGAATGATGGCGTTCTCGCATGGCCTCGCCCGGTGCACCTGCGCCTCTCGTCGGCTGGTATCTGCGTCGGCTCTGTGTAAAAGTGATCCACCTGAATGATCCAATGCGCGTGTGTCCCGCCCAGGTCGCCGGCTGCCTCGGACGAAGACTGGTGCGCCATGAACTCGTGGATGCATGGTGGGGGTTCGACATATGTGATGGGAATATGCTGAATCTGATTCCACGAGGCACGATTGTCCTCAACCGTGAGCCGAGGAACGCATGGACAGGGGGGTTTGGGCGGAAATCTGCTGCCCCCCCTGGTCAGCTCGGCGTCGCCCCCCCCAGCGCGGGTCTGCTGCCGCTCTGCGCCAGGGGACTCGGGCGGTCCACGCGTGCGCGCGGGCAGGGGCGGGCCGCCCACTGGGCCCCGCGGGGGCCCGTCTGGCTGGCGCCAGGGCCAGGTGCCTCCTGCGGGTTGTCCTGCGTTCGCTCCATCCTGCGCAGCTCTGCCTCGCGCGTGGCCCGAGACATATTGCCGAGCGGGTCGGCGGCCTTCCTCTCGGGGAAACGAAAACGGAGTAGGAAGTATCGGCGCCCATGCTGGCGCCGCCTGAGATGTGCACTGTGCTACAAGGCCCATGTGACTCCTGCGGTCTCCCATCGTATCTGCGAATAACTTGGCGGGCGCATGATGGCCTGGGCCCCCAGTGAATGCGTGGTCGAGGAGTCGGCCGCCCGTGAACTGAGTGAACGCATTGGACGGCTTGCAAATGCGCCCGCCCACGTAGCTGACCCAACCTGATGATTCCGACTCCGACGGAACGCGGTTCCAATTTCCAGTGGCAATCAAATCTCCTGCGAAGCTCTTGATGATTGCCCCGAGGTTCTGGAGCTTGATGAGATTCTGGCCCGCCGCGCCGATGGACGTGGCGAGATAAACTATGATCACTGTAAGTTGCCCATGTTTCATCTGAATAGCCAGCGCCGGGAAGTCCCAGATGTCGATTGGTCCCGCGATGAAGTGTGGCTCTGGCTTCCTGTGGCGCAACTGCCCCTTGGTCTGGCTTCGGCATCGGGCCGCGTGGCCCAGAGGAGAACGCTGGAGGCGCCGCCTGGCGCCGAGCGCCAGTCCTCCAGCCTGCTGCACACCTCCGTCGGCCCTCGGCGGTGATATCACTGCTTTCCATGCTGCCGCGTCAAACTCTGCGAGCACCGCGTCACTGGCGCGCTCGCCCTGGCGCGTCTCAAGCAGCCCGATGATGTCTGCCTGAGACGGCGGCGATCTCACAATCTTCTTGCACTTGGGGCCCCAATCGGTGATGTTGTGCACGTAGATCGTGCGGTGTGTGTCTGTCTGGCTAAAGGCCCTGCTTCTGTTCTCGATGTGCTCGCTCTGCTGTGGCCCGCGCTCGTGCCTCCTCGACAAGCTTCTTGCCTGCCTCTGCAGGTCGAGGTGCCTCAGCTGCGGCTGAGGCTGAAGACGAGCCCGAGTCACCAGCGCCAGGACCACCGCCATCGCCAACAAGCGCCGCAGCGGGCGGGGCCGACGGCGCCGCTCCCTGGGACGTGGGCGTCGCTGCATTCCCGCCGCCTGGAGCCCCTTCCCCTGCGGCGGCCGTGCGCGGCCGCCTGGCTTTGAGCGTGCTGCGCATGGCCTCGGGCGCCTGCTTCCGCTGCTGGATGGCCGAGGCGCCTGCGCCGAAAACCCCTTTGACCTTCTCGTTGAGCTCTTCGAGGAACTTCTGCTTGAGGTCGGTCCACTTCTGAGCGCCCTCGGCGTCGAGCTCGAGGTCTGAAGTGTCGAAGGCCTCGCCTTCCTCGAACGCGAGGTCTTCCCCGCTGAGGGGCAACTTGCTGAGGTTGAGGCCGCCCGCCGAGGATGAAAAGGCGGTTGGCGTCGGCCTGCCGCGCGCCTCGTTGATCGCCGCGAGGGTCTCCTGGACCTGGTCGCGGGCGACGTGCAAGGCCCCCGCGCAGCTCTGAGTGTGGGCCTCGCACTCGACCACCCAAGCCTTGGCTTTGTCCTCCGACGTGGCCGCCTTGGTAAGTGCCGCAACGGCCTTCCTCTCTGCTGCCAAGAGCCTCGGGCACTTGGCATCGAGGGACTCTGGCGCGATCGGCTTGGGCGGGAATCTGTTCCTTGAACTTCGCAAGCTCCTCACGGTGCTCGTCCGTGAGGTTCTTGCCGAGGAGCGCCAGGATGGAGTTTGTGTCGTTGGGATCTGCCGCCGCCGTTGGCTTGGACCAGTGTTGCTGTTGATGGCGATGGCGGCTTCCCTTGGACTTGGGCCCGGCGTTCCATGGCTTCCATCCGTCGTTGCGTTCGTCAGCACGTTCGTTGTCAAGCGCCGTCTGCAGCCGCATCTCCCAAACTCCCTGCGGCTGTGCATTGCGCCATGGTGTAGTGACCAGTTCCAACGTCTGTCTTTCCGCAACTGAAGCACTTGTAACGGCCCTTCCATGTCCAGTTGTATGAGCACGCCACATACTTGACATATCCAGGCTTCCCCATGTCTGGTGATGATAGACGGAGGCTCTCGAACCCCTCGCCCCAGCTGCGCACTCCGCTGGGGGCCGCTGGTCGCGCACTGGGGAGCAAGGGACCTCCGTGAAGGATGAAGGTAGCTGCCGCGGACTAGCGGTATCCAGTTTCGCCAATGCGGGCTCAGCCCGCCAAAGCATTGGTCTTGAGCCAAAATGGCTACGGGACGACGACGACGACCACGACGACGACGACAGAGACGAGAACGACGACGACGACGACGACGACGAACACGACGACGACGGCGACGACGACGACGGCGGAGACGACGAGGGCGGCGGCGGGCGGCGACGACGACCGCGACGCGACGGCGGGCAGCGCCTGTAGAACAGGCGGTGCGACTCCGGGTCCAGGGGGGGGTTCACCTTGGCACGCCCAAGTGGGTACGGAAAAAATGGGCACGATTCTCAACAGCAGATGCTGTCCAGAACCGACAGCGACCGCTGATGGGCAGGCGACTCTTGACCTCAAGTGGACAACGCCCGGCAGCAGCTCCGGCAAGGAATCCGCCGACCCCTTGGGGTGACGGCGTGTGAGATGCTTACCCTCCCCGAACCCCTCCACCGGGAGCCTGGTCTGGCCGGTTTGAAGGGAGGGGGTAGGGGGGAGGCGTCCCAAGAGGCCCTCCAAAATCAAAAATCGTCCCATTCCACAGAGAAGAACGCATATTTTTAGCACATTCGCATCTTGGGCTTTCACGAGGCCCACAACGGCCCGAGGCGCCTTCAAGATCGACCCAAGATAGCCCAAGAGGCTCCCAAGAGGGCTCCAGGATGGCCGAAGAGGGCCCCAGGATGGCCCCAGAAGCATCCAACACGACCCGGGAGGGCCCCAGGCGGCCCCAAAAGGAGGCCCAGAGGGGGAACCCAAATGGACATTTCGAGCTCTCGGCCCCGAAAAAATCTGAGGAGGCGCCAAGAGGCCCCCCAAAGGCTCTCACGAGGCCCCCGAGAGGCCCGACAAAGGCCCCCAGAGGCCTCAACACGGCCCCCAAGAGACCTCAAAAGTGCTGCCAAGAGAGTCCAAAGAAGCCCAAGAGCAGAGTCGCGATCCGCCAACCATCCCCGACGAAATCTCAAGAAGCTGAAACCCTAAGAATCCGCATAAATCTCGTGCGTTCTGCAAACTCCGTTTTTCACTCTTACTGCCGCCCCAAGGGGTCGGCGGCGCAGCGTCAGCCCATGAATCATTGTCAAATGAACAGGACGAAAGGATGGTCTTCGTCACCATTCGTTCTGTACCATCTCATGACAGGGAACAGCAAAGGAGTTGTTAGCGAATCAGCTCACGTAACTGATCTCTCCGGCGCCTCCTGGCGCAAAATGTACCGAGGCAAGGCGCCCGGCGGGCGGGGCCGGAACGACGGAACCAGCTGCATGCAGCAGGTTTCATAACCTTCGCCGTCTCGCTTTTGGGTCACAACTCGGGCCTCCGGCGGCCGATTGGGGCGACCTTCGCACCCTCAGCACGCTCTCGGCGAGGCGCAGCTACTGGAGGGTATCCCGACGCTAGAGAAACGCCCAGAACCGACGAAACCTTCCAAAAGCCTCGAACCTCCGGCCCATCTCGTCCGACCTGACGTTCGAGTCTGTCCTTACCCTTCCCACAATCACGGGAATGCTGTCGGTCCTGTTTTGTTGATCCTTTGTTACCATATCGAAAGCGCACGCGCACGCACGCGCATACGGTTTTTTGGCGACGGCGGCTGGGCACAGTGACTGCCCTGGCGGAAGAGGCGTGGCGTCGCGAACGGTACGGGAATTAGGCCACGATGCCAGGGGAGGGGGAGGAGGCGCCCGGCGACGGCGGGAGGGAGCGGGTGAAGCCGGGCCTGCTCAAAGCAGGGTCAGGCGCGTGGCATGGGCGGCGCCCGGGGGGGGAGCCAGTGGCGGCGGGCCGTCAGCCGACGGGGGAGCCGGGGGCAGAGATGCACACGCACACGCACGCGCGCGCTCAGGATCGGGCTCGGTCTCTGGGTCAGGCCTGGGTTCGGGCTCGGGCTCGGTATCAAGCTCGCGCTCGGGTTCGGGTTCGGGCTCGGGCTCGCACTCGGGTTCGGTTTGTCGTGGTCCCGTGGGTTGTCTCGTGCCTGTCCCGTGGCCTGTCCCGCGGTTTCCCCTCGAGTGTCCCGTGGGTTGTTTTGTGGTTGTGTGTTGGATTGTGCCCTGGGTCGTAACGCGGGTATCCAATGGTTCCACACGTGCGTACACATGGCGAATCATTGTGTGCATCAGTAACAGCTTGCGCGTGCACAAACACACGTTAAATTGCGTGTACGCACGCATGCATATTGGCACCCGCGAAGCTATTACAAACATCTACCCAGGACGGCGGCTGGACAACGAGGTCCACACCAATGCCACGATCATATGCTATTGGGTAACATATTGAATATCGTATGACCCAGCCCTCTCCCCCCAAACCCAGAAGTGTTTTCAAATTATAAACCGCGCGTTGCCTTGCGCGCACTGCCGCCAACTTTGGATTTTGGGGGCCGTAGCCGCCCGGTCGCCGCGACGTCGCCGCCTGGTCGCTGCCACATCGGTTGCTCCACCGATACTGCACAGCGTAGATTGCTCAACATCGGTTACAACACATGCATTATCCTCCCAAAAAGAAGATCGCCCCCCTCCCGGGTTTAACCGCCTCCATTTCGTATTGCAATGTACACATGACCCTGCCCCATTGTCCATCATGTATATATATATATGTACCTATATATATACATATATATATATATTTGCTCATACCATCCCCTCCAAGGCGGTCCCGGTTCCTTCCCCCGTCTTCTACACAAAGAACTATGCGCGCTGACCCGTGTATAAAATTCAGCAGGTTCCAAAAACCCATTGGGAAAGGAACTATCCCGGCAAAGCAATCTAACAGCGATGTGTAGAAGCATATCTGAAAGCATTCCCCTTAAGATTCAAATGAAAATCCAGTTGTCGAATTCTGGTGTTGTCGCAGTCGTAGTCGCATTCGCGATGACAGTCGCAGCGGCAACGGCAGTCGCAGTCACAGCCTCAGCCTCAGCCTGCCTCAGCCTCAGCCTCAGCCTGCCTCAGCCTCAGCCTGCCTCAGCCTCAGCCTCAGCCTGCTTCAGCCTCAGCCTCAGTCTGCCTTCAGCCTCGGCCTCAGCCTCAGCCTGCCTCAGCCTCAGCCTGCATCAGCCTCAGCCTCAGCCTCAGCCTGCCTCAACATCAGCCTGCTTCAGCCTCAGCCTCAGCCTGCCTCAGCCTCAGCCTCAGTCTGCTTCAACCTCAGCCTCAGTCTGCCTTCGGCCTCGGCCTCAGCCTCAGCCTGCCTCAGCCTCAGCCTGCCTCGGCCGCAGCATCAGCCTGCCTCAGCATTCAAAATGTGGCCCAGGAGTGGGGTTCTGGAAACTAGAAGAACACGAAGTGGCCTGCAATTGGCTCCGGGCATTCAAAAGCATGCCCAGGAATGGAGTTCTGGGAAATAGAAGAGCACGAAGTGGCCTACAGTTGGCTCCGGGCATCCAAAATGTAGCCCAGGAGTGGAGTTTTGGGAAATCGAAGAGCACGAAATGGCCTACAGCTGGCTCCGGGCATCCAAAATGTGGCCCGGGAGTGGAGTTCTGGGAAGTCGAAGAGCACGAAGTGGCGTACAGTTGGCTCCGGGCATCCAAAATGTGGCCCGGGAGTGGAGTTCTGGGAGCACCAAGAGCGATTTTGCGAAGATGTCCAAAGCGATTTCGGCTTCGACGGCAGCCTCCCCGGGTCCCGCCCAGAGACATAAAAAGAGATACGCCGACAGGACGCCGGCGCGGGCCCCTGGGAGGGGTCCCGGTCCCGTTTTGAAATTGGCGCTGAGGTTAGGTCGAGGTTTCCTGGCCCTCGGAGGCCCTGCTCGCCGCCGCGGCTGGAAGCGAATCGAAAAACTGGTGCGTTTGGGCCCCTGGAGTTGGTCCGTCTACATAAAAAAGGGATACGCCGACAGGACGCCGCCGCCGTCGCTGTCGCAGCAGTTCTCATCAATTGCATTTGCACCATGTGCAACCCGACAAAGGGAGGGAGAGGAGCCTCAGCAGGCCTCCGAGAAAAAATCTCCACTGGCATCGTCAGGAAAACAATCACAACTGTTGCCGATTGCTCGGCCCCTCCACCCCCCCCAACCTCCTTATCACCCGCAGGGTGGTCGTATAGGTATGTCCGTATCCTTCCCACCGGAGGAGTCATGATGCTCTCTTTTGAGACCACTAGAAACCTATCAGCAAGAGCTGTTAGGTAAAAATACAAAAGAAAACAATATGAGAAAACAAAACGGGACGCAATGCACAAGCGCGCGTCGTCGCGCGCGCATGCCAAAACCCTCAAAACCCCAGGTGCCGGGAGGATTTCAAAACCGACTGTCACAAAACATGCGCGAACACAAAACACACAACTTCGCAACCATTAGCGTTCAGCAAACAAGTTTGCGCTCGCGCTCTTGCAAATTTTCCATACAAAACAACAGCGGTTCCTCTCGCGCGCGCATGTCGAAATCGCTCGAACGCCCCTGCGCCCGCGCTGCCACCATAACCGTTTTCTGCAGAAAAACGGAGCGAACTACACGCGCGCGTCGTCGCGCGCGCATGCCACAGACAGTCGACGCAACTTTAGATTTCGCAAAAGGAAAAATTGCCCCGAAACAATTTAAACAACACATGGTTTAGCAACTTCAGTACATCCTGCGCGCTGTCTTGCGAGTTCATTAAAACCCTTCAGCTCTGCAGCGCTATCAATGTATCTCCAAAGTGCCTCTCGCGCTGCATGCCGAACATATATGAATGCCCTTGCGCGCGTGCCGGGGGGGGGCAATATCGGCGTCAAATAAAGCAGCGCCGGCCACTGTCGCACCAGCCAACGCCAAGCGCTCATCGCAATCGCCGACGCATGTGTTTTGTGAACCAAGTTGCAGGCGGGCGGGTAGGATGATTGAACGAGCATTGGAGTTGACAACTCACTGCGAACATTGGTGAATTCTCCATACGTCAAAGAAAATGAGGATCTCCCCCCCAGACTTACAGAGCCCCCCTCCATCGCATTGCAATTAACATACGATTCTGCCCCATCGCCCTTCCTGACTTTGAATTCCTACCACCCCAGCCAGGCCGGCAGCGGCTTCCCTCCTCACCCCCCGCAAAAACTACGCGCGCACACCTGTTTATCCAAATGCATCCGTTTCCAAAAAATCCCCTGCGAAAGAAGAGACAATGCGCACGCGCGCGCGTCGTCGCGCGCGCACGCCAAAATCCTTCAAACACTTTTTAGATCGTAAGTATTTCAACATCGGCGGCCACAGAAACATACAAACAGGCATGGTTTCGCAACGCGTGTGCGCGCGCCGAAATGCCTCAATCACCATT